TGCGCGATATGAATCATTCGAGTGAAATCTCCGATCGACCGCCAAATAAAAGAGATCATCTATTCCACTCGGACAAGAAGTGGAAAGACCCAAAACGACGAAGCAAATGGGTAAATAAATAATTATGCCCGACAATTGTACTTACATATCGCTATTTTTCATAAAGATTTGACATTTTTTTACTCAAGAACTGAAATGCTAAATATGAAATCGAAATTGTAAGATACGGTCAAAGTGGCGGAATTTTTCGCGAATTTTAAGCCTCGGGAGATCAAACAGAAAGCAAAATTATCTTCTTCGATCGATTTTAAGTAGACTCGAATGCCACATAATTCAGAAATTCTCGCGAGAGGGATGTTAACGCGAAAAAAGAAGTTTGGTTGGCCGAGCCTCTTATAAACTCTTAAACTTGATCTACAATGCATTCCTCGTTTCCTGCTCCTTTTTCTTCATCCCTCTTCGACTCAAACCTTAAGCCTTGAACCAGAAGAAGAAAGAGAACAAGAAATAAAAAGCAGAGAGCACATTGTAGATTAAGCTTTGAACTTACGAAACACTCGAAACAAGTAATACCTACTTGAATGCGGTATGCATTTCTTTGCGAGTACCCACCGAGTAAATATCTTTTAATCTTCGAACATTTTCTCGCTCGGAGTGCGAATAACTGACGCGAATTACGGGATATTCTGTGCGCAAATCGTTGTTCGCGAAACCCATCGTCGACGGCGATGACGAGGAGAGGGGCGGCGGGAGAAATTAAACTTCGCATTTATGCCGATGTGTGTGTCTTGCTTTTAATTTCTCGAACGTTGACGCGCGGCCAATATGGGACTGTCGATTCGCGAAACCGCTCGACATCAGGTCCGATAGAGCCGTCTGCGGTCACGTCGGTATTAAGCGAATTGAGCCCCGGCCATCGCGCGGCGCGGCGCGATACGCGTCATTGAGCTATAAAAGTGCCGTGGAAAATATGCGATACGCGCGTTTGGAAATTCATTTTCGGTGTTGAACGGCTTTTACGGCTTAACCGCTCGACAATCCAAACACAATCGTTCCGCTTCGCGTGCTGCGCCGCGTCCAACACGGCCGTTTCCGCTGGCATTACAACGCCGCCGCAGCCGCCACCCTCGCACGCCGATGGAAGATACCACGGCGTTCACTCTTCCACGGTGCCAAGGGGTTGAGGGTGGAGTGGAGGAAATATGTGCCAACTGGGACCCGCGGTGGAAAGAGACTCTCTTTTTTTTCCTAAGCGACCTTTTTAAAAGCGTTACCGGTGTTGCTTGGAAAAATTAAGGACTGGAATTGATCCAACGAATACTGATAATATACCGAGGGTTATATGAGATTTTCAATATTGCACATTGCGTTTGCAATAGAGGCGCGAGTGGATCTCGTAGGAAATTCTAGTAAGTCAGTGTTTAAACACATATCAAGGCGTTTGATCAAGCGATCGACAATTCTCGACAGGATCAAGAATACTCCGCAGGACTTAGAGATGAATAAATCAAGAGTCTAAGAGCACGAATGTCCGACGGTTAGACATATTAGCGCGAGAACAGAGAAGCTCGCTAGGAGAGAGAGAGAGAGAGAGAGAGAGAGAGAGCCGCGATGAGCCTCGCTCGATGAAAAATTCAGCACGCCATTCTCGACGTCGAAGATCTAGACACAACCGTCAGATCGCTTTAAATATGCAGAAATACGAGGAGACGTACGAGTGCGCGACAGACTCGAGTATTTAACGACGGGAATTCCAAAAATTAATATAATTACGCGAGTGAGAAAGAGAAAAAGAAAGAGAGAGAATAGAGAAGAGAGAGGAGGAGAGAGAGGATAATTCCGTGGAGTTTCTCCATGAACAATTCACGCTCTTCCGAAGATAATAAAATCGTTATTATTCGCTTAATATATCGCACCGATTTCAATTATATATATTTTTCCCCCGGGGTGTATCGAATACGCTTTTACTAGGACGGGGAAAGTAGCTTTACGTCGAGTATATAAATTTTATTTCGCTATTTGTTAGCCGCAAACGAAATGAAGATATATATATATATATATATATATATATATATATATATGTACGTATGTAGACACACACATATATAACGATTCGCTCATTCTTCGGCGCCGTTCGCGGAAGTAGTATTCGTGAAATACGTAACTGTATAACGGCAAATTAATATCAAAATGGTAATTCGACGAGGACAGAAATGCGAACGGGGGGAGGGGAAAAAGGGAGAGAGGATGGGAAATATAGTATTGAATATCTAGCTAGAGCTCTCTCTCTTTCTCTTTCTGTCGACCGCTCGATCGACCCCGACATCGTCGCCGTTTCAAACTGACTGCACGCCATTAATGTTTCATTATTGCCCATCATTTATCCGAACCGTGCGCGCCCACGCACTCGCCCGCCATTGTGCCGCGCTAATGAAACGATCCCGTTTCCTACCTGCGCGAAATAGCGCTTCAAGAATTATCTGGGATTAGCGTCGATATAATGCTTTCACGTCGATCGTATATCGAGTCTTGCGCGCGATCATGGAGGAGCGCATTCCTCCATGAGCCGGTAGACTGGTGAGTGAGTGAGCGAGAAGGTGAGAAAGAGAGAAAGAGAGAGAGAGAGAGAGATCAAGTGGCGATTACGCAATGTGGATGGTCGGTAAAGCCGATGACGCCGTTTGAAATTCCGCGCGCGCGGAAACGGACTTTCGAGTCATTCTATTATTCCGACATATTATTCGCGCAGCGCGCGAGACAAACGGTCGAAACGGCAAAACGCAACGACGGCATTAATAACGCGGTCCGCGCTGAACTTTCCGTTCGTGTTATTTTGCCTCTAAAATCAAACGCGCGGTCGTGAAAAATACACGCACAGAGAAAAATATCATTGTACCCCTCGCCAAGAGAAGCGATTGTTTACTTCACCCTGAGCCACTTCACCTCTAAGAGACAAAATTGGCAACGTAAAGGTTAAAGCTTGATCTACAATATGCTCTTTGCTTCCTGCTTCTTTCTCTTTATCTCTTTCTAACTCAAACCTTAAGTTTTAAGCTTGATTTATAATGTGTTATTTGCTTCCTATTTCTTTATCTTTTTCTAACTTTTTCTTTATCTTTTTCTGACTCAAGTTTTAAATCTTAAATTAAAAGAAGACAGAAAACAAGAAACAGGAAGCAAAGAACACATTGTAGATTCAGGCTTTAAGCCAGAAAAAGACAGAAGACAAGAAACAGAATGCAAAGAGCATATTGTAGATCAGGCTTAACACCAGAACCGCTATTGAGTCCTGTGACCAAGGAATCGATCGACATTCTGCGGCGAGGAGCCAGGAGCCTTAATTTCACAGTACTCACGACTGAACTATCAACGTCGCGCTACCGAAATCTGCGGCCAAAGGGTCGACGACAATCACACACCACACACGCCAACGCCCGTGGCCCGTTCACCCACGTGTCGGGCGACGAGTCACGTAAAGCTGCAGCGGCGTTGAGCGCGTTTCAACGAGGCAATCAACGCGAGCGGCATTTCAGCCGCGAAAAAATATAATCGCGGTCATGCTCCCGACTCCCGCGTATGTATTCGTCCCCAGCCGGCGTCTCCTTCGAGAGACATTCGATTAAACGATTTGCTCGATCCTCACCGCCCCCGCTGCTTCCCCCGTCTGTCGAGGCGGATTCGGGTCGGCGACGTCGCACAGACGGTTATTTATCGCCCGCTCAGCGACGATAATTTCCGCGGAAGTAACAACGCGCGCGCGTGCGTGCGTGCGCGCACGTGTGCACGCGCTTGCTTCGTGAAGTAATCGAATCACGCCTTAAGATCTTCCCGTGCACGCGCAAACTGCAAACTCTCCGCACGCATATGCAATCTTCCCAGCGCGCGCCGCCACCGTCGGCGGCAGATATTATGTAATTTAAGTACTTAAGTCGGGGTAATTTCGCGTCGCGTACGCAGCCGCCCGTCGTAAATCGATTTGAAATCGCGCCGCGCAACACGCAGCGCGCCCGCGAGAGAGAGAGTTTCTCCCCGAAAACACCTCCTTCGTTTACTTACTTATTCATTCGTTTCCCGCTGAAGAAAAAAAAATTATACCCGCGGTCTCTTGCGAGGTTTTGTTAATTGCGGTGTTAATAACAATAGAGAGGCGAATAAATATCTGAGATATTTTTAAATCGACGCGCAAGATATATTTGTTTTACGTTCTGGTTTGTTGTTGCGTCTTCTTTTTTTTTTATTTTTTTTTTCCATTCGAAAGAGTGAGGTGTGTGCGTCGTTGATTTTTTTAATTAAAAAGCCGACGTGTTTAATAAACGAAGCCTTTCCCCTCGTGTACATGGAACCTGTATATCGGGTGTACGATATTTTATCGTACAATTAGTTTGCTCGGCGGATCATACACATGCCAATGGGAGCGGAAGGTACACAAGCGTCAATGTGAGAGAGGAAAAGAGTAAAACCGGTGTAACTGCTTTACGGCGTTCCGCGAAGCTTGGGCTTAACCGAGTTACTCGGCTGAACTTTGGGGGAAAACTCGAAGGCGCATACAGTTTCCATAAATTACTCCTCTCACGCTTAAACATTAGGTTTCCGGCGCCGAGTAAATCCCGGCTTTTAATCTTTTTCGCGGCAAACGCGGAATCGGATGTTAACCCAAAAATATATATGTCGCGCGAAGAAGTGAGAACGAGATCTTCCCGTGCGTCTCACATACCATAATATCGCCGTTATTTCATGTAATAATTTTTCTCGCGTATATAAATCGATTCAGCACATTTGTGTATGTAAATTCAACATGTATGCACCTACATAGTGAAACAAGTCACACTGATATCATAACGGGCTCACAATCTTTATTGTGAGTCCATTGTGACGTCACAGTGACTTATGTTGCTATGAGAATAAATTCAACGTATATATTAAATATAAATTAAACATATATATAAATTCAGCATGTATACAGAAAAATTTAGAGCACACACACACACACACACACACACACACACACACACACACACACACATATATATA